TTTTAGCCTTGTAGGTATATTGACGCATGTAAGCTGGGCTTATGAAAATTTTTTTTGTTGTTTTAACTAACTATGGAGCCCTGGTGGCACAGTGGTTAACAGCTCACCTGTTAACCAAAAGGTTGGCAGTTGGAATCCACGAGCCACTCCTTGAAAACCCTAAGGGGCAGTTCTACTCTGTCTTATAGGGTTGCTATGAATTGGAATCGACCCACCAGCAATGGGTTTTGGTATAACTCACTACAGGGATATTTTTATAAAAAATAATAAATTTCTACTGAAACACTGCAAAAATTTTATAGACACCTCCTCTGACAGTGTCACCTGGTGCGATCCAAGCCCCTCACATTCCCCTAGTGACACCACTGCATATAGCTAACCTCTTCCACATAAATCTCACTTACCTGTTTAAAGTTATATTCAATGATGTGTTTGGTTCATAAATAGGAGCTGCACAAAAATATCTTTCAGAGAATTAACGAAGACAGGTGGATTTACCATGAACTAGTTAAACATATGCAAGTCCCAGTGCCCCTCACTTGCCTGGGTCCCCATAAAAGCCAGTTGTTGTTGAGGTTGTAGCATTTCTGGGGCAGGGAGGGGGGAAGCAGCCCAATAGCAATCAGGAAGATTTCTAGCTTTTCTATGTAAGCATCTCTGGTAAAATGTCTGAAGAGATCTCAGAAGAAATGGACCCGAATATCCAATATAATAAAACAAAAACAAACCATTGCTGCTAAGTCGATTCCGACTCATAGCGACCCTATAGGTCAGAGTAGAACTGCCCCACAGGGTTTCCAAGCAGCGGTTGGTAGATTCAAACTGCCGACCTTTTGGTTAGCAGCCAAGCTCTTAACCACTGCACCACCAGGGCTCCAAATCTCCAATGTATATATTTTGTATTATTTTCTTTTCTCATTCTAAACACATACTCATTTTTATCAAATGTTATATTTATAATTTCATAATACTTATCTTTAAAAGGCTCCCAAATGATTTAAACTTTAGGTCCCACAAAATCTGGACCTAACCCTATCATTAAGATGCACTTGGCACTCAAATTTCTCACCTGACAACTTCCTAGTCATTCTTCAAGATATAGCACAGCACAGCCCCTCCAGGAAGGTATCCCTGGAGTGAACCTCAGCTTGGGTTAATTTCCTTCTTTGGTACATTTTAAGCATGCCTCAGATATCCAACTATATTCAAAGTGTTTGTTCATCTCCACTGTTGCACGGTTAACTCTCCAAGGCAAAGTTTGGATCCATTTATCTTTTCGTCTCCTATGCCTGATTCAGTGCTTGCCATACAATCTGCTCTCAATAAATATTTGTGAAATTGAACTATAATTTGTATTG